GGATCGTATAATATTTTATACGAATGTATAAAAAATGATCTTACCCTCAACTTTAATTATAAATATACATTTTTAAAGATTTAAAAGTAAAAAGACGATTCCAATATATAAAACGAGAGAAAGATATATCCATGAAACATCTTGAAATAATTAAAAAATTATAGAAATTACTACTTTCATTTTGTGATTTTAATAAATATCAAAATATACTGATATGCATATATATCAGCCAATTTCAAAGTAAAGCATAATATTACACAAACACTACATACGATGCAAAAAAACTCAAGCTTAAATAAAAATTTTTTAAATATTTAATATAATTTCCTTTTATCAATCGATTTTATCAGTGTAAGAATTACTTTTTCCTACCACCTCTCTCCTTTGGCAACAGGTTGATAACATTACCTGAAGTTAAGTTATAATACGCAAGAGTATTGTTGTCTTTGAAGAACATTCCCTGGAAGCAAAAAATTATATTTACAGATATTCATATTTATTGTATTAATTCGTGTACAGGATGAAAAAAATTTATCAATGATCATTACCTCATACTGCAATTTTTGCTTTCCAGGTGGCATACCAATTTGCTCGTGAATAAGTGCTTTCATAGTCGCTACAGTATCGCTTATTTGTAAGGTAATGTTCAATGTTTGTCCGTTTAATTTCCATTCGGCCTTCTCTGTCATCATAGGTACAGCAATGTTAATTTGTACGGGATCCTAAAAAAAGATTATATATTTTTTTAGAAGTTCATCACTTAAACTTTTCAATAAATTAATGAACATTAATCTTTTCACCTTATTTCTAGCAAGGAATTGTTGCTCTGGAATTAATGAGTCCTCGGTTCTCAATTTCTTAGCCTGTGGCTCTTCTTCCAGCGGTTTACTAGCAGGATGTTTTAATCCAATCTTCAAAAAAAGAACAAAATTAAAATTAATTAAATCTTAACCCTCCCTTATGATAAGAGGATGCGATCACTGGTTTCTATTTTACAGAGCCCATGTGCTGTTTAACAGAAAAAGAAGTTTCATGATATATATTTTAACTTCTTTTTACCCATTTTGTTATATTGATTAGATCATTAGATGAAATATGAACAAAATAGCATTGGATCGCATTCAATCCTACCTTTCTGGATATCTTGAAAATTCATCTTACCATAGGAGAGAGAGAGTCAAAATATAATATAATAAATAATTCATGCAATTGTATTTTATTCTAAATTACTTACAGCAGATGTCATTGGCGGCTGTATTGGCGGTGGTGTTGGCATGAACGGTGACATTGCTGGAGCTGTCAGATTTATTTCATTAAGATTAGCTTTATATATAAAAATACAATAATAAAATGTATATTTGTCAAGATATATGAAAAAATTTCGTACTCATTAGAGGTGGTGGTCTGGGTGCCATAGGTGGCATAGGTGCCATCATCATCATCGGTGGTTGCGGCATCATCGGCTGAGGTATACCCATAGTAGGCATACTCATTGTCGGCGGTGGAGGAGGTTGAGCAGGTACTGGTATAGGCTTCGGTGCAGGTGGCTTTGGAGGTGCTTTCAATGTAGCTTGGGGTTTTGAAGCAGCAGCAGCCATATGGGAGAGTTCGGTCGCACGATTAACCGGTTTTGGACCAATCTTCTCTTTCTCCTCGTCAGGCAGAAGACCTTTGACCTTATGAATTTGATGAATCTGTTCTTCCAATGTAATGTTAGCTCGCGCGGCTCTCGTTGCTGCTTCCACACTCGAAGTATGACCGTCCCATGTGACTTTATCATCCTTCTTTTTGTCTTCTTCACCGATTTTCTTTCCAATCGCAGTTTCTTCGTCACCAACACCAAAAATATCAGTACGTCTCTCGGCGAGTTGTTTGAGACTTGCCTCGATTGCTGTGCCTGGCGCAAATACGGTTTCCTGTGCCAGTTTATCTAGATGTTTGTCTCTCTGTTCAACCCAGCGTGGATCCAACAATCCGATACGCATATGTTCTTGCACCTTACTAGCAGGAATACGTTCGCCAGTAATAGGCGAAATCAGGTACTCATCCGGAGCCGCGGGACGAGTAGTTTTAGTCGCTATTAAGAAAAATATTGAGTGAAATCTTGATATATTGGAGTAACCAAAAATTCTAATTAATAATTAGAGAACATCTTTACCATGTTGTTTTGGATCATATCCTTTCTTGACTACCACGTTTCCTGGTGTCGGCGGTAACGGAGGCGGTTGCATGCTCGTTTCTCGTGGTTTGGATTCTTTAGATTTATGAGTATCACCTGGTGGAGACACATCATCTTCATCACTAGAATCTTCCTCCATATCTTGTACCTGAATTATTAAGTCATAGTATAATACAAATATTTACATTAAAGCGAATTCATATCATGAATGATAATGAAATAAACTTACTTGATTATTATCTTTAGCACGATCGCCTTTCTCGTTTTCTACACGGGTCTGCGTTTCCTCTTCTGCGTCACTATCAATCTGCATCTCCACATCCTCACCATCTTCTATACGCTCCTACAAATATTTTTAATTCATATATTTATAACTAACAATTGCCGTATGATTCAGCATTTTAAATCTCGACCAACAAAGTAAAAATTTTAATAATACAGAAAGTCATGATCAAACCTGCATAAGGACGCGTGCGCCGACTTCATCCGGTGTCGTAGGCGCTGGGAAATTACCGACTTCAAATTGTTGATAGTCTACAGTTTCAACCACAACAAAATCATGCCAGTCAATTTGCGCATAAGCCACTCTTTCTCTTTCTAATTCCTCCTCCTCCTTACGTCTCTGTGCCTCCTGATATTTTAAATACTCGGCACGGTATTTCACCTGTTCCAAAATCTTATCCATATTGAGTGCTTCATCCTTGAGACGCGGCAACAAATCTTTCGGTGGAATCAATACCTATAGAAAACATTGAATTTGAAATTTTGTAATTAAATGAGAGAAATTCCTATATTCGATCAAAGCGATTCTTGGTGCTTAAATATTTCTACGTGAATTTATATACACATTTGAATCTACAAATTGCACGCCAAAATCTTTTTGGAAATTTTGGCTTTATAAATAATTTACATTAATCCTAAAATAAGACTATTGCTATTCGTTTACCTTGGTGTACTGCTCTAAAAGTTTAGTAAAGTACTGAAATAAGGAATGCTGAGGCCGCAGGAAATCAAACTGGAAATTTCTTTGCTCGCGATTCATTAAGTTGGTCAGAAACTGTCTTCCGTTACGTGCAACGAATTGAGCGGTTAGCTTCACAATGTCTCTGAAAAATAAAAGTTTTACTTAATTTAATAAAACGTAAAATATCAATTATCTATATATAAAGATTATTACATACAGATCCAAAGCAGATATAGAAGGAGGATCTGCAATAAATTCAAACTCGGTTGGTGGATCTTTAGGTATAAACGGTTGTTCGACTTGCTTCAGGATTTCCTGCTGTTTTTGATGTGCAGTAAGATTGATAGTTTTCCCAGGAACTGAGCCAATTGTAGGTTCCTGACCTTTTCCTTCCTTAAACTCTTTCACTTTGTGCTGATAGTAAGCGTGATAAGGATCACCGAAATTTAAGAAATTGAATTTTGGATTGCCTAATTCATTCTGTCTGATCCTGGATTCAAATTCCGGCCCATTCCTGGCCACGAAGCTGGCGGTTTTGTCAACGATATCTGAATTTCTGTGTAAGGAAAAATAAACGATTGACATACATCAAACAATATCGCAGAGTTAGTCAGCGTCACACAAAATACACTTATCTGTATTATTTCTAATTTTATTATTTTCTATATATTTTTTTACAAAATACACTTTCCACATCATTTTCCATCCAACCCTGTAATGATTATTAGTAAAACGTAGTTTTCATATTTTGATAACGTTCTTGGCAAAGGATACTTCTAACCTCAGGTGGTGGATAAATAATGCCCACAATCGGTTGCGACGAGGGAACATTGTTCTCCTCGTTTTCGGTGGCTGGCGGCTGCGGTATCGCAAGTTCTTGCGTAGGCATTTTGTTTGTAATCGATGTATTTACAGCAATAAATACACTATCACATAAAATTATTCTCACACCATCAAATAAATCGAATTTCTGCGAATTACAAATTGCTAATAATGCTAATGCTTGGAAATAGGAATCGCCATGATGGATATTTCTTCTTTCTGAAACATCTCTGTACGTCCACAAAATTTAGACATTGAACTACGTAACCAAAGTCTACGATTCTGTAGGTAATGTCTACGACTTCGAGGTTCTGTTTCGTGCTACGTCCACGATTTTGTGATTCTCTTTCGTGCTATCTGAAAGTGGAATAGCGTTAGTACTTTATGTTACATATTTTGTTAGATATTTTATAGATATTTTTCTGATAAATATTTATGTTTTACGTGAACGATAGATATTTTTCTTACTTGTATAATATTTCACTAATTCTGCATAAATTTCTTTTCTCTTACATTATGTATACATATTATGACGCATTATTTCAGAATGATAGGAGGAAGGAGCCATGTTACTTTTTGCAAGTTGACTATGCATGAAATTAGCAAAGTTAAATATAAAAATATGTAATAAGATATATAGTGTCACAAAATTACAATTTTTTTCTCTACAATTATCATTTCTATCGATAATTAAATCCGGACGATAGAGAACATTAAAATCAAAGTTTTAAATAAATATCGAGTATTATTTAGTTTTATCTACATATACTTATCCGCAAAACTAATATCACAGAGAAACCCTCTCTGCCAATATAAATTTGCTTACTTCACGCCGTACGCGATGAGCGATGAGTGACGAGCGATATCCAATGAAAGCTCTGCTTTTTCTCACGTGACGGTGTAAAACAGAGCTCTCATTGGATATCGCTCGTCGCTCATCGTTCATCGCGTCCAGTGTGCAGCAGGCAAATGTTCGGGAACGGTGGCGCCCTCGGACGGCCACCTCTGCCGGCTACGGTCGGCCATAATGCTCCGTCGTAGCGGTCGCAGACAGTCGCAGATGGCTACGTAAACGTACAATAACCGGTTTCGGAGTATAATCGCAATTAAGATAATCGTGCTACGCATTGTCATTGTCGATTTTTACGTTTATTCGTGTTTTCTCGTTTTGTATCGTGGGTGTCGCGCATTGTGACATTCTCACCGTCTTTCTCTTGTTTTCGATATCGCGTCTCCTCGCTGCGAACTGCCTCTCCCCGTTGCTCCGTTGTTCCGGTACACATATCTGCTAGCCGCGTCCTAACCCGATCGCGGGGAAGTCGCCGAAGATGAGCGCTAACAATGTGCAGGCGCTCTTCGCATGCTCCCGGTGTTTCTCCAGGCATCCTTTCGAGGACCTTTCACCCGGACAACAGTTGTGCAAGGTACGTACACCGCGTGCTATATCTGTTCTTCGCGAGCGTCTGTTCACGAGGGTCCCTTGTTCTCGAATCAACGCGATGCATTGAGAAAATTTTAGAAGACTCCTTATGTCAAATTGAAATCGTTGCGGAATATAATAATCTATCACGTGCTTTAAGAGCGAAGTTCTGTTTTTCGATAACATTTTCCGTCGCGTTTGAAAAACGTGAATTTTGTGTAAATACGTTGTATATGTGTGCATAACTGTGAAGAAATTTCAAGTACGATTCAGTAGACTATGTATTATCTTTATGTTTGAATATTTTTAGTTCTTTGTTACGTTGTTCTATAAAACGTAATTACTTGCGAAAAAATACTATTCGAATTAGGAAATTTAACATAAATAAGTGAAAAAGGCCGTGTTCGATCAAAGCGAGTCTTTATAATAATATTTTGTACAAATTTTACAATTTCCAGTTCAATTCAAATAAACTGAAACAGGGGAGGGGGACAATTTGAATTTTTAAGATGATATTTTTTGCAATCATGGTGTTCAGCGATCCTCGAATATCCTTGGATCCTGGAATTATACTGGAATTGATAAATGTTCAGTATGATGCCGCACACTCCGAGTTTCTTGTAATTTTGTAAATTTGTATTTTCATGTGTAGAGTATATTCCGACAAGGAAAATTATCGCTCAAGTTTCGTTTTTTTATTATTTTTTTTCAAAGTTTTTTGATGTCGGTAAGTTGGAAAATGATAGTTTAATGATATTTTACAACAGTGTGTTGTAAAATGAGAGCGTGAAAAAAGAAAGAAATAAACAAAGTTGTTTGCAGGATATAAGTTCTCTCTTATGGCCCGTCTACAATGCAGTAGTAAGCTTGGCTTAAGAAGAGTAAGAAATTGACCAATCACAGTCGATTATTCTTTTCACAATCGACTGTGATTGGTCAATTTCTTACTCTTACTTCTTAAACCAAGCTTACTTCGCATATTGTAGACAACGCCTTAGGGCGGTATTCATAGTTCGTTCTTATTTCAAGGGTGTCTTAAGACACTAATACGGCCCTCTGATTGGTTCGTAATTTCTTAAGACTACCTAATGCCTGGTTTAGTCCGGATCCTAATTTGAATCTACAATAGGTATTTTAAGCCTTAAGCCGTAAGAAATTGACCAATTACAGTCGAATTCGAGGAGAATAATCGACTGTGATTCACCCATTTCTTACGGCTTAAGGCTTAAAACACCTATTGTAGATCTGGGGTTACCCCGGATACTAATTTGAATACAAAGCACATAATATTGCGCGAATCGATGAAAATCAATTAAATAATGAAAATTAATCGATGGATAAATCCTGGAAAAACCAGGATTTTTACCTGAAATTATCCTTAAATTGACTAGCCAGATTTTGCTGGACATCATGGCAATAAATTCTTTAATCACAATATAAAAAGGAAAGAGCTAATGATAATTATATTTAGTCAATAAACAAACGTTGCTACTTTTAACGAGATCATTTTCAATGTTAATTGTTTTGATTTTAATCTGTGAGAAAATTATCCACAACTGCAGTAATATTAAATTATTTGTCAATTTAATTTATGATATTCAAGTTAATTCAATTGTAATAGTCCAGCTTCAACTTAAGACTGTATTTCAAGATTTATAAATAATTGATTGATTTGTGGAAATTATAAAATTTACACAAAATAATAGACATCAAAATCTGTTTTGATCAAATGTGATCTTGTTCGCATATTTGTATTGAACATTTTTCGGTCAATTTTCATTTAATATTGTTCAAAAAATTTAAGAAATAAAGCTTGAAAATAAATTTTTAGATTCTTTTGCTAATTTTTTTTTATAAATTATTATCTTATAGTATTAATTTATTTTCTTATAAATTATTATCTTTGTTTAAATATTTCTTTATATTGTAAATAAGTGCAAAAAAGCTGACAAAGATATTGTTAAAAGAATATGAAAAATTAACTCTGCGTGCGAACCGTGAGTTTTTCAAGGAACAGTCAAATTTCCCTATGTATTTTGCTAAACAAACAATATATCTGAGTTTAAAACAATTTATAATTTGAAGTAGAGATATAAAACAATAAAAGAAATTTTTTGCCGATTTTACACAACTGACTTATTAGATGCTGGCATAAATGACTCGCGGTTCACGCGACGTTGGTGAAAAACAATGATTCACCCACAGGGTTAAAATAGAAATACTTGATAAATTAGCAATATTATATTTCTAGTAATATTTAAGAAAAAAAATTGTTCATATAGGAATGCAGAGGAGCCTTTCCCGTAGTAAAATGTACATACTGTAGGTCAGAATTCCAGCAAACCATGTAAGTGTGAAAACAAATCACTTTTGTTCTTATAAAAATTGCTAATAAAATGGAATAAATATTATTGTATTGCTTCAATTACTTTCACAGAAAGGGTAACACAAGCACCATATGTAAAAAATGTGAGCAAAATGTAAAATCCTATGGTAAGCCATCGGCTTGCGAGTACTGCAATACCATTGCTGCGTTTATCGGTAGCAAATGCCAACGGTGTACAAATTCGGAAAAACGTTATGGACCGCCGGTTACGTGCGAGCAATGCAAGCAGAAGTGTGCCTTTGATAGACAGGATGAAGATAAGAAGGTAACGCAAAGACAATGTGCTGCAAAGACAATATACTCCTAACTTTCAATATTCGAAAAGGACCATTTCTAGCTGTATAATATATATATATATAAAAAAACCAGATTTTATATTGAAATCTATTATCTTCTTCCTCTAATATCATTTTTCTTTTTTTTTGCTTATATGCTTTGAATAACTCGCTCCCACTCCTCTGAAAATACATATGAATACATAACTTACATTTCCTAAATCTCGTATTCTATGAATTACTGTAATGTGATTACATTTTTATTCTTATTTTTTAGATTTTTTAGATTTTTTAGATTTTAATGCTCGAGGTGTTCTTTAAATAACAAATATGTTCTATGAAAAGATTATGCATAAGACAAAATATGTGATAAATTTTTAGTGAGTTATATAAAAATACACATATTCTTTCATAAAAGACTGTAAATACAATACTTTGTGATCCTTGTTGTTCTGAATAATCGATAGTAGCTGTGTATTCTGATTTGCTACAATATTTACATTTTCCGAGTCCATATATTTGACTTCCTGTCACGACTTCTTTTCTTTTTTTAGAGAGCGAATAAGCATCAAGTATAATTTCTACAACTAAGACCTAGCTCTCTTGTTGGTACATGGTAATGAATCTACTCTATTGCAATGCTACTTAATCGGTTACGGTGATGTTTTGGTTTTTAGGTAGATGGCAAGTTATTATGTTGGCTGTGTACACTGTCGTATAAACGAGCGTTGGCGAGGACAAAGCAATCGAATGCAGAAAGAAGAGCGCATATGAAATTGGCGCAACAGCGGGCCGCGAAGCACAAAGAACAAAAGTAATTATGCAAATTCGTAATATCACAAGGTAACTCTGTGCTCGGTAGCTTTAATATTGTATGTACACCACAATTTCTCGAAACATGTTTCATGCGAGGTGTAATATTAAACACACGTTTTAAATTTTATTCGAATTTCTCAATTACATATCTCACATTTTTCTCGTAGACTGAAGGGCCACAATAAAAGACCGCACAGAGTCGATGTGACAAAGTTGCCGCCACAATCAGAAGGTGGAGACACAAATGGTCCCATTCCTGCAAAAGCAGCGCGAATGGTCGGCGTGCACGATCCTCACGATCCGAACAGTTCGGATCACGTGGTAGCGGTTACACAACTCAAAGAGAAGATAGCGAATCTTCAAAAGCAAATCAGCATAAAAGAAAGCCAATTATTAGCAAAAGATAGACAAGTGAGTAGATTTTCCAGAAGTTTTTGAATAAACGATAAAACAGATACATACATGACTGACATTTTGATTACAGATCACTGAACTCAAGGCAAAAAACTTTACGTCCGAGACGGAACTTCGCAATAAGATGAAAGCATCGGAGAAAGAGTACGAGACAAAAATCTCTAACATGCAGCACAAGATATCTAGTTTATTGAAAGAAGTAGCATCATTATCGAAAACGTCCAAGCGAGGTGATAGGGTGGCTGCTACCAAGACGGAAGCTGGGACCAACAGTGGGAGTGGAACAGACAGCCCCGTACCTTGATAAAGTAGGTATATTTGATTTCCATCGTCGTCTTCAGGATGTTCGCATTTTAATAACGTATTAAACAAAATCGCGATTGCGATTTACGAAATATATGAATGAAATTTCGTCCTCTGAAATCGTTTATAAATGAAAAGTTCCTTTTTTCCGTATTGTTTCCAGAGAATTGGTTAGCTGTGACAACATACTCAAATGATTATACCCGTGTAAATCATGTGATTATGCATCTATGCATATAGTTAATTGTTTTCATTAACAAGGCAAAATTGTATTATTTTTCTAATTACTATAGGAATATATATTATTCTCTCAATACGCATCCAAGAAAGATCGTACTAGCATCTCCGTTTAGGGGAGATCGATTACGCGAGTGTAAAACTTATACATGATAATTTAAAGATACACTGTTAAAAATATTATGAAATTTCGTATACTTTTTAAGTTAGACAAGTTGAATTTATTTTTATTAGGGATCGGATCATAAAATTACCGGATACCGGATATCAGATATCTGGATAGAATGTAACACGAATATCCGGTATCCAGTCGGATATCCGAGAAGGCAATTTCTTCGAGTCGGATATCCGACATTTTCCGGATATCCGACCGGATTTCGGGAAACTGTCTCTTCTAAAAAAAAAAGAAAAAAAGGCTGTAAAGAAAATATTATTTTGCAACAATGTATGAGATATTAATATGGCATTATGAATATACATACTTATTTCTAAAACATTTGTATAATAACAAATCAATAATTTAATGATATAAAATTTCAACCCCGAATATATCTCCGGATACTAATGATATTTGACTATTCGGTCGGATAGTAAAAGTGCCGGATAATACCGGATACTAGATACTTTTCAGATATCCGGTGCATCCCTAATTTTTATAACATAACATTAAATTTAATTACATTACATTTTTATGTATTTCTAACTGAAAAGTATATTTGTGTAAAAGTATATGTACATGAAATTTAATCTACTTTTCCTAAAATTTTATGAAATTTAATGTACTTTCCATAAAATCTTATGTGGATTTGCATGAAATTTAATGCATACATTCATTACAATGTGTATTTTAGTGTTATTAAGTGTAATTTAGTGTAATTTAATTTTCAGTTAAATCATTTCATTACTTTTCAGTTACTTCATAACCACAAGCTTTCTTTACATGTTACTTCAATTCATAATAAAATTTCTAACAGTGTAGCTTTCTTCCTTTTTTACTTTTCGGCGACTACCAGTTTTGTGCGATTTGTTCGCCGAAGGTACCGATTTTTATAGCAAAAGACTAGTGAAATTTAAATAACACAAATTAAATCTTTCTTTTTGCCATGAAGCAATGCAAATTTATTGTGGAAACTTTGAGGCAAACTCGGATTGATTGTAGACTCATGTGGAAACAATAAGTGACAGCGTATAGGTGTGGCATTTTATTATTTATGATGATGTAAATGATATTGAATCAGGAAACAATGATCTGTAGATCAATTTACAATAAAAGCTGAAAAACTTATTGTCCTATGGTTCCATATATCCAGTTGATGTCCATATTCAAGTCGTTGGTTATTTTTTTCCCCCTCGTGTGTGATCGTTATTGAACATGATTTCTGTGTCACTTCAAGTATCATTATAATAATATCAGATTTTATATAACAAGATGTGTAGGTATGGTAGTGATATGTGCATATAAATATCCAACAGCCATATATTTATTCTTTATTTTAAGAAACAAATGCTAATTGAGCATTACCTATTCAATAATTATAATGATAATAAATGCGTAACAATTTCACTATATATATATATATATATTTATATATGTATACGAAGTGTAAGGATAATTAACATTTAATTTATAGTCGTTTAAATACGTACGAGCGCGTGCACGCGTACGCGCGCGTGTGCGTGCGTGCACGGTACAGTTGGATCGTTATCGTTTAATTATTACGAGATGATAAGAACTAAATATTGCTTGTTTGTTTTTGAGGCGATTAATCGCTCTCGCTTGTCGCTTCCTCTCGTTATTTCACTACTTTCAGCGTATATATTTACATGGTCTTCACCGTTTGCCTTTTTACGCGCTGTGCCGTGTGCTGCTCCCTCTTCTCTCATTCTCAATGTCTCGTTATTAGCTTTTCAAAGTCCTAAGCGCCTAAGTTTCTCCTCTAGCTCCGTTTTAACTTCGTTATTTGTAATAGTGTTCTCAAAATACAGGCAAGGCGGGGAATCGAGACAATATACAGAATGACACTCGGTCGTGAAGAACGTCACCAGGAATCGCGACCGATATCACCAAAGGAATTTTCATTATTGCTTGCGATGCGATATTATTGTGTAACCATTTTCGAATAAAAATGTTTCCTAGGTCGCTTCTATTTCGTCTTTCATCTCTTGCGCTTTCAGTGTCATTCTATAAGATGGACGTCTTACAGACTGACACCGAGAACACGAGCACAAATTCCTCATACAACATTCGAGGAGTTCCTGGAATGTAATCTCTAGCATACTATCGCTGTAGCATACGTTATGTTGTACAGATACTTTTTCACTACTCGACATCCCGTAGAATGCCCGCGAGTCGTCCACGTTGCCTGGTTATTAAAGGGTATCAACAAATCAGTGTAAAGGCCTTGTGAATCTACGATACATCGTTTGCGAGTCCAGTTTGAACGCTCGTTAAACTTATTACGGTATAATTGCCGGGACAGTCGAGGAAGAACTTTTCGTTCGGTTCCCGGCGGGCAGGTAGTGAATAGTATGAGGGTAATAGGTAATTTTCGGAGTATGGAGAAACGAGGGTCATCAGTTTCGTAAAGATCTCGCACGCGAGCACCGCGGTTTCGGCATAAGGGTGAATGGTGAATATGGGTGATCGCGTATGCCCGCTACGTCCTGAAAGGATTCAGCTAAAAACGGATTTCTTTGGATTCAAAATTGTTTAGCGTCGCAACGTCGGACGCGAGGGGAGATTTTTGCGGAACCGAAGCCTCGAAGGATCTTGCGAAGGAAGCCGAAATTTAGAAACGATGATGTAACACACTCCTGCATTCTTGAAAATCGCACACTCTCTCGCTCTCGCACTCTCTCACTCTCTTTCGCTCTTTTTCCCTTTCTCTCTCGCTTCGCACGGAATCGTATCGCGATGCACGTTACTCTTTAAAATCTCACAAACGCTCGATAGCCATGTGTATATCAGTCTGCGATACGTCCTTTAGATTAATTATTTTTACAGAACGACGACTCGGAGGTTCTCGATCTCGTTTAAAAATTCTTATCGTTCGTTTAAAAATTTGTATCGTATTGTTAAAAAATTCTCTCGTCTCCCCGTGTTTTGCGACGACGAAACCTTAGAGTCGTCCCTCAGTAAGAAGTGAATTGTTTCGCACTACGTACGGTAAGCTGCGCTTAGAATTAACTCGTTCGACCTAGCTTAGCATTAATGGAAGTTATGAATTCGCCGAATTTGCATAAAATTAATGGAAGCTGCGAGAAAGAAGAATAGCATTTTCGACGATTCGTTAATTCTAACTTTTACTTTCTTGTGCTATGTATAGGAAGCACAATGTGATCGAAGAATCGATTCGCGCACGCAATATTTGATAATCATTGCCGCGAAGATTTTATTCGACTTCGAAATACATATTTTTCTTAAGAAACGTCGCAATTGCACTAGTATTTTTTTCAAGACATTTTGACTAGATTTACTATCATAATTTCTGATTTATACAGACGATTGTCCTCTCTACCTTCAAATTTTGATCATTTAAAGCTATAAATATTTTCATCGAAACGTACGATGAAAATATAAAGAAATATTTTTTTTCGCGATCAAAACTTATAATTTATCCAAAATATATTTTTCTTTAAATTAATGGACGTTAAAGAAAGATTCAGCATAGCTGAAATAAATAAAAATTACATGCAAATAAATAGATATTAGCATGGATGCTAATAAAGACAGTAACATTATAAATACGTATATAGTATAATATTTATCGAGAACCGAAAAATATGCAAATAATAAGCGCGATTAAAAATTTCAGTGCACGATTCACATATAACTTTTATCGCGATTAAAATCCGAGAAGAGCCAAATCTCGTTATCATAATTACACTGTGATCATAATTACGCTATACGAAATTCTCGACGTAAAATTTTGATAAATATTAATCTCGTAAATCTAGAATTTCTTAGGAATGCTAAAAGAAAAGGACACTTTCAAAGTGCTAACAAAGTTGTGTGCCGATCGTGTTCAAAACACGAGTCGCACGAGTATAATAGAAGCGCACGTCGACAGTTTCAACGTCTTTTTACACATGCGTCAATAAATTAATATCATTAATGAAATCTCTAATATAAAATTTACTTCGCAAAAGTTAACGTAAAGCGCAGTCTACCGTCCGCCAACGGATGACGACGGTATGCACGCATGTATGTGCGTATACACGCAAGTACACATACGCATATACATGTGTACACACGGATGTATATACACATATATAGGTATATATATTTATATGTATAAAGGTATTCATAAATTAGAGCTCCTTATATTACTTCTTTTTAAATTATCGAATAAGAAATAATAATAATATTAATATATATACAGGTACAGGTCTCGTATAGTTGCAGTCGTGTCGTCACTAATTGTTCGAGTCTACTTGTTGTTGCTCCTTGTTGTTGAGCGTTCGCTATTACGCGAACATTAATTATGACGGGTGCCGACAAAATCCGCCATTTTACACACGGGCCTACAATTTTAGCACGTCGAAGACCGCACGAAATTTCGTTTTAAGAATTATACCTGTAATACATTTAAATTTTTGCAATGTAATTAACGCCGTGATCATTGCAATCTTCTGAAAGTATACATGTAGTAAAATCTTGCTAAATTACAATTATAAAAAATGGACCTTTTTTGCAACCTGAATAAACGAAGTGTTTACCGATGGACTTTTGTTGAACCGCTGAAAACGAATCTGGCCGCGAAATTGACTTAACAAGGGTTCCGAAAAATTAAATGTGCCAAAATTGGCATTTTTAGCCATATATTTACTATTTTTTGCGGCCAAAGTAAATTTTTTTTTCAATTTCGTTTGCACCACTTTAAAGTGCTATTTTTTATCTATTTGTGTCATTGGAAATTCATTGTATCGTCACGGTGTGTCTTCGACGTGCAATTCCAAAATGCATTGTGGAAGAGTAATTGAGAAACCCGATTTTGGTACCGTTGCTTATGCGACTGTTCTTTCTATTTCTCTTGAAATGGCAGTATTACGATCTTATTAAGCAATTAAACCTAATTATTTTGAACACCATTCTCTCTTTCGTTGATAACGCTACGATAGAAAAAATATAGAAACGAGTATTTACAAGGATAATTTACAAGGAAGGAACTTTATGCGCGTTTCTAGACAGAACTTCGTCAGCTTTTCTAGAAAAAATCCATCTTCCCTTTTTTTCATATCGTCTTCGGTATTAAAACAACAAAGTTCAAAGTGTCCGTTAAAAAATTAGGCGGTTGTTGATCAATCGATTAAACTTCTATTGTGCAAT